TACAGAGTAGGGGTTACGTTTGCTAAAATGAAGTTTCACGTGTAATGGCATATGTCTGTTTTGTATTTTTTCTTTGCATATAATTTTTCAGCATGTTTATATTGTTTTATTTCATTATACACCATCACATGGCAGACATATTTTTATTTTGCTTTGCCCAGTGAGGTGAAAATACACATTCATACATGTATACCCACATATCTATATTTTTATACTCTTGAAATTTAGAGTATCAAACCTTCAAAATTTCATAGAAGCACTTTGTCTCTCTAGACAACTTCTAGACAGACTGAGATTAACTAAAGGTTCTTTATCTTCTATCTGGTTTTTATTGGAGAGCCAAGCATAAGCCCTATTCAAAATCAAAATCTCATGATCATTAAATTTCTATCTTTATTTTGCCTGAATGTTTCAGTTACAGGTGACTCTAAGAGAGTTCGGTTTGTTCAGCCTTTAAAGTCCGCAGTAAAAGTGAGGAATATAATTACTCACCTGCACACTGTGATATTGTTATTGCTCTCGTGATTTGCCATCCAGGCTTGTCCAAGCTTACACCGATCCAATAGCCTCTGTTTTATGACAAATACAAAGAGCCGGTAAGGCACAGTTTTACATATGTGAAGTGTGGGTGAACAGTATTAAGACTGACATATCACCTGGATAATAGCCGACTTTCATCAGATTTGGAGGTACTAGTAGGATGAATAATAATTAACATATATACCTAATCGCGGCCTGTCTGTCTGTAGTGCTAATTGCTGTCATTGAAAAGACTGAATTGTTTAAGAAAAAGAGAGAGAAAGAGAGTCATTCTTCATTGAAGCTATCTCCCTGTATCATTGGGAGCCTATTTTTAGTACCTATAGAAGTCATGATTTCTTGAATTTATTAGGGGCTGTGAAGAGTGATAAAACAAATCATCCATTTACATATCTTGACACTGCTTTGGAGAATACTTATTTCTTACAAGCAAGTGTCACATTGTATATAAAAGCTGGCTAATTGTGTGCTAATCTTCTGCATTATCTGAAACTCTCTGATGTGGTAGTCTATCAATAGTAATATTAATTTTACTTATTTTAAATGTATGAAATATCTTCTAAAACCCTACTTCTTTTATAATTTCTGCTCTCTTACATTGTGTAATTTTGCATTCAGCTGCTAATTAAGATTAGGAGAGCATGTTATAGAATACATATCCACTTTAAACCGTCAAGCTTTTGTAATACATGAAAATACTAATATTTTATCTATTTTAAATGTAAAATGAGAGAAAGCATTTAAGAACATTACTAGATGTTGTGTTCGTTTTCATGTTGTTGTTTTCTTTTCCACATAGTTCAATAGTTTCCTTGATCTACTGTTTCTTACAAAAACCGGCCATGCTTTGTGAACTTCACTTTCTCATCTCATACAGCAACTCTTCCTTTATGTTATTTCTGCTCTCCCTGGTCCCAGAACAGTAGGGTTGCCTTGAAAAATCTATTCAAAAGCCGTTCCTCGGCCTTTATTGGTGGGGACTGGGGCCTTTGAAATTCTCTCCTCACTGCAACACAGCTGACATCTTCTTCCAGACAGAATGAATTAAGGAAATACAATAAAACACTTGATCTACCAGTCAAGGATCTTCCCACAGTACAGCCGAATTCCATGGTGCACACCCAGGGCAGCAAGCATCTAGAAACGCACAATGCATGCTGGTTGACCAGAACAGCAATCCACGATTCTGTCCAACATGATGGATGGGATGATTTCTTTCTGAAAAATCTGGCTGGAAATTTAGAGAGAGAGTGTGTGTGTGTACTGAGAAATTATCAAATATATATAATATATATATACACACACATATATATTTATGAAGTCAATCACAATTTTAAAAGCCAGACTTCAAACACAGACTTAAAATGTATGGAAGGAATATAGATTTTTTTTTCATTCATCTGAGTTGTAAATCATCTTGCCTTAGAGATTGATCTTTAACACGGAAGGCTCTGTGTCTGCAGAGCAGCACTACAGTTCGCCAGGCTGTGTTTCTCTTGGGCTGTTTGCGAGGGCCTTCATTGTACAAGGTTTAATAGAAGCTAAGAGACAATGTGATTAGATGGACTAATTTCTAGGGAATAAAGGCAAAATTTATTTCTAGTATGGCACATGCATATGGTTTTAAAATGTCATTATTCTGCCATATGATTAAATTAATATTTATTGTGGTCAATTTCTTTTGATTAGAATATATTACTCTTTGGATGTCTAATTCTTTTTATTTAGAAATATACCGAACAGTTCACAGAAAATTACTTCTTCCTAATATGGGCACAGATGATTGGCTGAATTGTAAAAGAGAAACCTTTTTGTGCAGTTGTGTTGGTCATGAGGGTTTGCATTGCATTGCCTAAAGTGTATGTACACTAGTTGATCGTATAGGATATATTAATTTCTGCAGTTTAACAATTTGGTCTTGGTGTAAGTTGTTTCAACAGAGAATTGTCGCTATTGTATTACAGAACTGTTGCAACTGGGTCTCCAGCTCAGAACCGTTAGATACGTCTGTGGAATCCATGCTGCCCGACTGCCCTCGAGTCTCAGCAGGTATGTGTTTGATGAGGAATGTCTGGTTTGTTTGGGTTGTCGGGTGAAAACATATTCCAATAAAAAGTAGAGTTTTATTTTGTGAATCAAAGTATGCTATTCTGACTTGAAAACCAAATGAACTTTTGATAAGGCTCACATCCACTCTCAAAATTTAAAACGCTTATCCAATAATCTCAGTAGGACAAGTAGCAAATATAGTGTCAGAGTAAGATGATGGTTGCTGTTAGAATTTGGAGAGCTAAGACATACGTGAACGAAAGATTGACTACGACAAGGACTGGGTAGACGTATGGCCATCTCATGGGACCTATATTTATCTGTTAATCAAGTACCAACTCAATGTTATAGGAACACAAACGCGGTGAGTTGAGAGTTCTTATAGATTGCTATAACCTAGAATATATATTTTTTATGTTATTGCAAATATTTTGCCTGGACCTTGGTGGTGGGAGAGCTTGGGCCTTGGAAAGTCCTAAAGAACCTATCGAATGGAGTAGGGGTTGCTAGTCTGGAATCCCAACGAGAGCAAATCATCGGGCTGTTTTTCCTGCTGAGCAACTGGTTGGCTCACACTTCAGACTCTCTGTTAGCAACTAAGTGCTTAACTATTGAACCACCAGAATGCCTCCCTGTCATCGCAGCTGCTGTTTACTACCGCCTCCTTCCACGACCCAGCCCCTGTTCTCATTGCTTTCTGCCACCATCTGAGCTAGCTGCTCCTGGGAGAAGGATCAAAACCGTCATTCCGATGAGTCTGGGGCTTTGGAAATTTTATGTTAATTAGGTTGTTGTCATGATCAATAACTGCAGTCACAGGCCAGGGAAGTACTAAAACAGTGCTTCTCAACCTTCCTAATGCCACGACCCTTTAATACAGTTCCTCATGTGATGACCCCCCAACCAAAAAATTATTTTCGTTGCTACTTCATAAATGTAATTTTGCTATGATTATGAATTGGGCAACCCCTGTGAAGGGGTCGTTCAACCCCCAAAGGGCACGCAACCCACAGGTTGAGAACCTTTGTATTAAAAGGCTCTTCTGCATTGCCTGCACACTGTCTAGTCCTCCTTTCCTCATTGTGCTGCTCAGCTTTCCATGGGTAACCCAGCAGCCATGTAATTCCACCCTGCACCGCCCCCATAGTTCACAGGGATAGGGACCCAAACTGGCAAGTTGGCAACTCCATCTCCCAGTTCACTGGAATCATTGCTGGGTCTTCTGATGGAAGCATTCCATCCTTTGAAGCGAAAACTTCTTGACCAGCCAAGCCTAAGGTCAGGGGAGGGGAAATGGCTGGTTTTCCAGTAGATCTGAGGATCACGGGGAGAAGAACAGCAGCTCCCAGGGCCCCTCATTATTTGACAGCAGCTCTGGAAGAGATGGCATGCTATATTCAATGCTGACTTAGCTCGAATACCACACCCTGGAAGACATTGGTTCTAGACCCTCTCCCCCAAGGTGTTGTCCCCTATAAAGAACCATAAGTGAGTCTTCAAAAATCATTCCACCGCTCTAGCATGCCTGCAGCATGCCTGCCGTCTCCGAATAACGGGGAACATCGGAAGACGAAGACAAGTGAATGTTGGCAGACCGTGGACTCTCTCTTGTCCTCTCTCACTCTGATGGAAGCCAGCTGCCATGTGTGAGCTGCTCTATGCAGAGGCCCATGTGGCAAGTGACTAGTGTCTCTGGCCAAGAGCCAGCAAGAACCTGATGCATACCATCAGCCTTGGAAGGAGATCCTCCCAGTTGAGCCTTGAGATGGACAGTAGCCCCTGCCACCGATTGACTGCAGTCTTTGAATGCCCCTGAGCTGGAGTCACCTGCCAGACCCTGCCCAGATTCCTGACCCACAGACACTGGGATTGGCAAATTGTTGTTTGCAGCTGCCAAGGATTGGGGTGATTTATTGCACATTAGTACATAATTAATACAATGTGCTTAAACTTCAACTCTGGTGGTCTCTCAAGCTTCCGTGGAAAAAAATCTTAGCCTGCTTTGAGATGGACGCTTGGTGAGGCTCCTCTGAGCGCTGATGCTTGAGGCTTAAGACCACTCTTTTGCTGAGTATGCTGTGTGTACTCACTGCGATAGAGCCTATTCTGACTCATGGTGACGCTGTGTGCAGAGGAGAGTTGCTCCGTCGGGTTCGGAGGCTGTAAACGTTCAGAAGCAGATCCCCGATTTCATTTCCAAGGCGGTGCTGGGACCCCGCTCTTTAAATGCTGTGCCACCCGGAAAAACCCACTAAGACGATTCATTGTTACCCTTGCTCCCCATCTACAAATTTGGGCTTTGCTGTACCATTTATCAGACAAAAAGATAATTAAGCTTCCTTTTTATGCAAATCCTCCTATCTATGTTTCCTTTTACTGTCCCCTCGAAAAGATGTTGCTCAAAATTGCTTCACTTTATAAATGATTGCTACCTATGAAGATATAATCTAAAAAGCAAGTATAAAAAAAATCTTAATGGTACTTAAAATATCATTAATAATTATTTTCAGCACAGTTGTATTGTTCTACTTTTCTGTTTGAAGTCAACTATAATACTCGAGAACTCCACACTTGGAAGAGTTGGCAGTGTTGCATCTTGCACTCAAGTGCAGCGTGACTCTTCAGTTATTACGTCGAGAATGGTGGGAGTCGATGCGTGTCAAGTGGCTGGTTCCCCCTTTCTTTCTATTTGTAGTGTAAAATTAGATTGCAGTGTGAGGATGATTGTAACTAATGAGAGTTCTCTTTATTTGCTAAAGGAGTGCTGGGAGCGCAGTGGGTTAGACACTTGCTGCTACTCCTTGGTGGTTCTAACCAACAAGCCGTTCCTCAGAGAAAGAGGAGGCTGTCCACCCTGTTGTTGTTTGTGAAACCTATATGGAGTTGCTGTGAGTCAGAATCAATTCAATGACAGTAAGCTTGCGAGGGGGGGATTGTTTATTGATGTATGGATTTTATAACTCACAGATTGTTTATTTATAGGTTTGGGTTTGTTTTTTATAACACGGCAATAATAAAGACCTGTTTGACATAGCTTATAGAAATGTAATAGGGACACATTTTTTCAATCGCCTGGAGAATATTTTCAGTTCATCAGAAGGATGATATATAAAAATACTGTGGGGTACTACTGCTGTTACAATTACATAGTAGGTACACACTGGGCTTCAGTCCCCAAGGTCAGCAGTTCAAAATCACCAGCTGCTCTATAGGGAAAAGATGAGGCTTTCTACTCCCATCAGTAGTTACAGTCTTAGAAACTCAAGGGCCTTTCTACCCTGTTCTACAGGGTCACTAAAAATCAGCTTCAACTCGATGACAATGAACTGAGCTTTTTGTTTTAAAGAATTTAAGGTTGCTGTTTATTTTTAAGCTATTGCTGATTATTTTCATTCTAGAGAGGTGAGAAAGCATTTGTGGAAATATTCGCCTTTTTATTATTCTTGCCTCTAAGCCTTTTTAGAAACTTGAAATTACATGTTTACTCTGATTTTCCTATACTCCCTATGACCTTGGCAAGGGTCACAAAATATTACACAGAAAATAGGGCCACACGAAGGTAGGAAATATAATGAAGAAATCAAAAGGAAAACTAAACTAATAGATGGAAGAAACATGTTCAGCAGGACATAGAAATCTGGAAACAATGAAGCCAGAAGAGGCGTTGGGGTCACAGTAAAGGTAAGAGTAGAAATGATATTGTGTGGTGTACTGCTCCCCAAACAGAGCTAATATAATTTTTGACTCTGTGTGAGGAGACATTCCCTGAGGGCAAAAGAAAGCAAAATATAAATGTTTAAAAACAGATAAAGTTACAGAAGATTGATATCTTCTAACTTCTTAAGTCTGAGCACAGCTTGTTTGGACTGGCCTGTACCAGGTGGCAGCTCTTTTACAGACTGGTTCCAATTATTTTATTTTTCCCTATAATAGTGTTGTATTTTTTTTTGCCATATCTTACATAATCTAACGTATCCATTCCCATACAATTCTGTTGCTCCCTCTCCTCTAGTGGGGTTATACAGTCATCAGTGCTATCAGCTCCTGTTCCCCCCTGTCCCCCTTCTTGTACCCTCAAGGAACCATTACTCCTTTTACTATTTCTGAAGGGTTGCCTGACTTGGCTTTCATGTACTGAACCATCTTTAATATACAAATGCACATACACAAATCTAACATGACTAATGAGGTAAAACAAATAAAAACCATAATAGTAAGGTGAGGAGATATTGGAGAACTAAAGGATAGTTATGTGGTTCATCTGTGCTATACCACACCCTGGATTTTATCATCCTTTCCATGTGGCCCTTCTGACAGCGACTATCCAATTAGCTTACAGGTGGGTTTTGGGTCTCCACTACATCCACACTCCTTCCCATCAATTTAGTTGCTTGTTTTTGAGCTTCGGATACCTCTTACCATCAGCACCTCATGATCACACAGGCTGGTGTGCTTCTTCCATTTGGGCTTTGTTGCTTCTCTGCTAGAGATGGCCACTTGTTTAACTACAAGCCTTTAAGACCCCAGATGCTCTATCATCATTGGGGGGTGGGACGCACTAGACTGCTCCATCCCTGACTGCAGGAATAGCAATGGGGATGTTTAGGATGTTCATTTTTCGAACATGAATGCTGAAGACTGAAAGGGGGGGTGCGCTGCTAGGCAAGCAGGATTTGGAGTACGCAGCTCTGGAAGAAAGGGGGCTGGACTGATGGTTTGTGACATGTCCTTCTCTCTACTTAACACAGAGATATCCGTCTGCTCTGTGTCAGGATCGCTGTTAGTCTTGTGACTGTGTGTGTTTTTTGGGGGAGGGGGTGGTTTTTATCTATTCAAGATGGGCAGGACAGGCAGTCTTACAGAGACCGGGAGACAGAGACTGGTGTGACAGTTTATGGGGGGCATCGGAGGGGATGGGGAGGTGAGCGGGGAGCCAACAATGACAGGTATAGGAGAATAGTAGGCGTTCTAAAAATGATGACGAGGGAGGGTATAGCTTT